GCTGGTTGGGAGAAGTTTCTACTTGGAAGGAAAATAATTCCTGGAAGCATTTCTACACAGTTCAGCACTCATCTACTCAAAGGGCCCAACTTGCAGCTGCTACAGCTGCTTTTCAACATTTTTCTGATAAGCCACTTCATATTGTTGCCAATTGAGCTTATGTTATGGGAACTTTACAAGTTATAGAAACCATTCTTATCCACGATGGTCATGATGAAATTCTCTCTCACATGTTTGGATGCTTGCAAAAACTGATTGGACTGCTTTTCCCTCTTATGTCACCGATATATGTTGTCATTCTACTCGAGACTCTTTAGTTGAGGGTGATGCCTACGCAGACACTTTACAGTTTCTCCTGCTCTCGACAAGCCACTGCTTCCCATCAGTTTTTCCACCAAGGAGCTGAAGCACTTGTCTGTTCTTTTCAAATTACTCATAAGCAAACATGAGAAACCATTCCTACCTTCCCCGATTGTCCAAAACAGTTAAAATCTATTCCATAAACAGACATTAATCCTCGTGGTTTAAAAGGTAACAAAATTTGGCAAACAGTTGTGACTCATTACAAACATTTTGGGAAATTAAAATTTCTTCGTGTTACTGTTTTTTTTTTGTTTTTTTGGTTTTTTTTTTCTTCGTGTTACTGTTGACACTGATTTGGGCTGTACATGGGTTCTGCCCAATCAGGTGAAACTGCTAAACATGTGAAATGTCATTTAGATTACCATGTTTCTGTTACAGGTCTACTGTTACAAGTAAAAACCAACAATAGTACTACTTATACCTCCCATTCTTTGAGAACATTCTTCCAGTTATGGCACATTAAACATGTCACTGGACAAGCAGTTTTAGAAAGAACCAGTAGTCACTGTAAAATGCAATTATTAAAACGAAAAAGGGAGAACATGATAGAGAAACGTCCTTCCATGGAACAAGTCTTAAAACACTCTTTAAATATTTAAAATTGCACCTTGGGTGGACTTACCGCAGTTGGAAAGCATTTTATACCAACAAAGGAAAGGCCAAGCCCACTGGCTTTGTGTTGGCATGCTTTATCTGGCCCTGGGTGGGTGGGTCCCGTGCAATCGCTCACTTGGGGGAGGGGATATGCACCTGTTTAATCACCCGCAGGCCCTCTCAGGGTCCCCACAAAGGCTGTTCATGTGGCACCAGGTGAGAAGCAACCCTATCCCTGAGCTTCAGGAGATGCTCTACAACCCCCACCAGGAAGGGACAACAAGAGAAGACGGCCCGTTACCTGGACAGCACAATCCGTGGGACCTACCCGGGGAGAGATTAAACAGCTCACCTTACAGGCTACACAGAAGCTACAAAAACACCACAAAAAACAAGAAACCAAAAAAGACACCCCTTTCACCCCTAATAATCTTTTCCTTGCAGTGATAGCACAGGTCACCTGTGACTCCAAAATGGCCAGGGTAAGAACTTTCCTTTTCTCCTTAAGTCTGCTCACTTGTATTTCCCAGTAAATGTCACAGTCCGCTGGGCACAGGTTCTTGTACCACAGTAAAACCCACCTGATGTTCTGACCTTGGAAACTTGGGGGCCCCACAATTTGATGGTGTTACGGTCCACTTCAACCTGGAACTATAGGTTATTTTCTAATTAGAGTGGCAGCCCTCGCTTATGGAATTCTGGGCTTGCTGGGCCTTTGCTGTCTCTCTTCCGGCACCTACTTGTCCCGCCTTAGAGAGATGGTGTCCAGGTTTCCTTTCTTTCCCTTTTCTGTCAGAGTCAGCAGCTAACTACACACAGACAACCGCACACGGACGGCTCATGATACCTCTGGTCACCTCGTGATTTCCACCTCCTGTCCATATATGCTGGTCCTTACCAAGGAGGAACCTATTTTCACTCTTTACAAGCCATCCCTCCTCGGTACTGACATTTTGATGCGTTCGATCTTACCTTGCTTGCAAATTGCACATGGCTTGTTCTAAGTGTCCCTGATCATAATATTTCTCAATTAAATATTACTCATATTATGGTGCTTAGACAAAGGGTTGAAGCCTGGCTCCCCACCAATCATACACGTGATTGGATGGGAAACTCCGCTCTTAAACAAATTACCGCAGGACTTCAACATTTCAGACTAAAACAGTTCTGGGCTTTTGATTACTGCTATCATAGCAGCAAAGGCACTCACCGCTACCACAGCTACAGCAGCCTCCACCTTAACTCCTTCCGTCCACACTGCCCATGCCACGGGTAACTACTCGTGTGCGCCCATGTTTAGAGCAGTGCAATCTGTCACAGCTAAATCCTGGAAACAACCCCAGTACCCGTCAACCAAGGAATGGATAAAAAAGATGTGGTATTTTTATACAGTGGAACATTACTCAGCTCTAAAGAAAGATAAACTGAAGAAGGCTTTTATAGGTAAATAGATGCAACTTGAGACCATACTCATAAGAGAAATAAATCAGACTCGCATGTGTAAACACTGTATTGTCTCCCTAGTGTAAGAAACTGAAAAAGTAAGATCCAAAAGGTACAACAGATTTTGTGAAAGGAAAAGAAACTGCTCAAAAGGAAAGAACAAGTGGGATGGGGGAAAGGAGAAAAGAAGGAAGGAATAATACATATATATATAATATATATATATATACACAAGATAGCTAAGATAATTGTATTACTAATTTCTATTAGTTCATTGAAAGGAACAGTTAGTGCTTGTGTAGTTTGATCAATCTTGCATGACTATATCTGGTAATCTGAGCAACTACTTTGAAGATAACAATATGCAGTATAATAACCATTGTTAATTTCCTATCATCTTGTTTTGAAATTCTGTACTGTTTTTTTTTTCTACCTTTAAAATAAAAAAAAGTTTAAAGAAATGTAACTTCTGAGCTCTTAAGTCAAACCAGTGTTGATAAGGAAATTTTACAAAGACTTGTCACACTCGGGGCTGCAGTGGGATGGCTTGGCAGACACGAAAAAGCCCTCTGGACACATAGGAGGCTCAGCTGGGAAGCTGGTTACTGTTCTCCGTGCATCACTCCGATTCCATTTACTCTTTCTGAATCCTGGGAAAAACCCAGCAGAGGCTCCGTGGGGCTTTTCATGCTGGTCTCAACCGAGAGAGTTCCACTCTCCAAGGCTGATTTGCGGGCCTAGTTACAGCAGCTTCAACTGGAAGCTTGTAATATCAGTCTAGATCATCTCAGTGGGATTGCTTACTGACTGAGTGCCCCAGATTTGCCTTCGGCCTCAATCTATGCGTATGGATTTGGGTGGCTATTGGCATAGTTTTCTTTTGATCTTTTCTTACACGCCGAAGAACCCTCTGTACACTGTTTCAGCAGACGGTGTGTGCTGCACACGATGACCTTTCTCCACCAAGCCCACTGCCTCTCCTCCCTTCACTCTCTCTTTCCCAAGCTCGAATACAAAACACAAAAGAGGGACATGTGGAGGCTTTGGCCAGAGGTCTGTGTGGGATGGATGCGCAGAGATAAAGGGAGCTTTGGGGCAACAGCCCAACCTTCCTGGAATGCATGGTTTTTTGTTGTTACTGGTTTTTTTTTCTGGTACTGGGAATCGAACTCACAACCTTGCGCTTGCCAGGCAGGTGCTGTGCCGCTGAGCTAAATCCCCAACCCTGAGCTAAACCCCCAGCCCTGGAATGCGTGATTAAAGATTATAGGACAGCCTACAGGACCATAGTCAAAGTAGGCTCAAAACACATTGTCCAAGGAAGGTATGTTCTGACCCTTGTCCTGCCTGTATTCCAACAGATCACAGTGATACCTCAGTTGTTGATAGGTTCCAAGCACAACCTTTCCACTACTTTTTTTTTTTTTGGTACCAGGAACCAAACTCAGGACCTTGCGCTTGCCAGGCAGGTACTTATGCCACTGAACTATATCCCTGGCCCTCTTTCCACTACTCAAAGAGCAAAGTTTGAAAATAATCTGCTTAGTGTTCATAACTTTGCTCAACAGTCGAGCCAAAAATCCAACTTGAAAAAACCTGAGCCAAGAGCCAGTCACATGACCATCTCGCCACCGACACAAAGTGTGATGCTTCAGGCCAAGCGCAGCTCTCCCCCAGACAACATAGAGAGCTTGCGTAATTTTGGGCCTCAGAACCAATTATTTGGTTTTCCATTATTTCTTATAGGAAAATATGCTCAGTTCTCAAACTTTTTGGTGTGTGGACACACACTTGGACTGAGTTCTCCATCTGAGAGATCACCATACTGAGATCAGCTCTAAGGCCCATCACGTAGCTGGCCCCGTTCCTCCCCTGCCCCTCGACACAGGTCCCTGCACAGATGTTTTTCCTTGTTCTTTACCTTCCTTCCTGGGCCTGTCAGTAAAAAGCCACAGAAGCTTCAGACTGGGGCTGTTCTGGGAGGCTTTCTCAGACTGAGCTCCGCTTCACAAAGCAGTCCCTCTGGGCCTCCCAGATTTGTGACACAGTCCTATCTCCAAGTAATTTGTTCAACCCCTGCACGGCCATGGTCTCTCACGGCAAATTTCCCCTTTACGTCTTCCCAGGCAAAGCATTTTGCTGGTTCTTTATTGCTGTTGTGCTGTAGCTGTACTAGGGGTTGAACCCAGGGCCGTGTGCATTCCAGGAAGGTGCCGCACCACCGAGCTACATCCCAGTACACTGGTCTTATTTTTGAGAAGACATATAGGTGGGTCATAGTTCCTGTAAATTCCATCTCAGGACCATACGTGTCTGTAGATCTAGGGAGAAAGTACACTGACAGTGCCTATGATCCCAGCTGATACAAACAAACACATGTTCAGCCCTTGTCTGCTTTTTTGCCTTAGTGCTAAGAGGTAGAAAGGGCTGACAGCAGAAAACTGCATACTTGCGGCGTGCACTTCAGCACAAAGCGGGTGTGATATCTGCATTCACCGGTGGCAAGCACGGATTTGGACACAAACACAGACGCTGCCTCCCGTGCACTATCATTTGAGAGTGAACGCTCTGAGAAAGTCACTAATGCGTGCGCACCACTAATGCTGCACTTCAGTTTGTCAGCAGACGCGGACAGGGCAGAGTCTGCGGATACCGATGGAGGCAGAGCCAAGACAGCTCTGGAGCTCCAGGGACTTGCAAAGGGAAGGGGCGGGAGAAGGCACCGGCCATCTGGGGGAGGGAAGGAGGCCAGGGGACACAGCGTGCGTTCCAGGCCGCCAGGGGACCTTCCGCCAGTGCTGCCAACCTCCCCGTCCCCTCGCCGCCCCACTGGTGGGACCAAGCTGCATCCCGCCCTGCAACTGGAGCGGATAATCGGCCAGCTGGCTCTGTGCGCAGGGACTGCGTTCGGATGCCTTTGGGGAAGTGGAACAGGAAGAATGGAAGCCACCTGGTTCCCTCCTGTGCCAAAGAGGGCGACAAAAGCAGCAGTGTCCCCCAGGGAGCCCGGCCCAGCCGAGCAGGGTGAGCCCACAGGCCCGGACTCTCTCGGGAACTGGAAGATGGTGGGGCAGACGGCGGGGCAGCGGGGGGCTTGGCTCTGTGGAGACGCCGGCTCCTTCTTGGGTCACATACGTCAGCCGGTCTGTGTCTCCATCTTCACCTGTGAGATAACTGAGGGGAAAAAGCCAACACACGTTAAAATCTGTTACTTGTTCCACCCAATCCACAAATGCAGCTTGGCAGCCTGCCGTAGGGTGGAGCCACAAGGGCCTGGGCCTATTTCCTGTTGAGCACTTCCGGCTGAACCTGTGGGCAAAAGGGCAGAACAAACAAGAGTAAGTACATCTTCTCCTGCCCCCCAGATGACTCTGCCACTTTTGCTTCAGACTGGGAGGCACGGCTGGCGCCAGCCTTTGCCAGGCTTCTCTCAGAGGGACTATACAGAGAGAGGCACTGCCCAGACAACAGAAAGCGAAGGCCGGCAGGAAGTGTCGGCGCGCCTGAGGACGGGGTGAGCGACCAATCCCTGACTGTCAGAGGAGCTTTCTGAAGTCCCTTGTGGAATCTTCAGTCTTGAAAAGCCCTGTGTTGGGAGCTGTGCTGGGGTCCGGAAAGGACGTGAGGGCCGGTCAGCAGCAGCAGCAGCAGCAGCAACACACACACACACCCTCTGGAACAGCACCTCCTTTTGGAATATTCATCCTCACTCGCTCCTGGCTTCGAGTTGGGTTCTGACGGCCGTTTCTTGCAGATTTCCACCCGATAGGCAAGGAGGCCTGGCCCCAGCTTTTGCACACGTGTGGCATGGAGATGATAGCTGTATTTCGTTATTTTATTGGTACATTTTAGATGTACATAATAACATTTATCACAGAATTTGCACTTGTATATGGTATATGTTTCTTTTGTTTTTTTGAGACAGGGTTTCACTATGCAGTTCGGGCTGGCCTTGAGTTCACTTTGTAGCCCAGGCTGGCCTTGAACTCGCAGCGATCCTCCTACCTCAGCCTCTCGAGTGCTGGGATTACAAGCACGTGCCACTGCCCAGCTGTACATGGTATATTTTGCTTCTTCTCTTTTTTTATTTTTTTGAGACAGGGTTTTGCTATGCAATCCAGGCTACCCTTGAACTCACTATGTATCCCGGGCTGGCCTTGAACTTGAAGTGATCTTCCTGCTCAGTCTCCCAAGTGCTGGGATTACAGACTGTGACACCATGCCTGGCTTGCTTCTTTTTTTCCTGTTCCCATGTATATTTACCAAAGCTTTGTTTCCATTTCTTTCTTCTATCTTTCCTCCTTCCTACAAGTTCCCTTCTTATTTGAACATTTTCTTCCCATTTCCCAATATCTATTATACACTTCGGTCCTTATTTACACTTTAAGTTTCTCACACCAGAGAAATCATGACATATTTGAATATGTGTGTCTGATGTATTTCATGTAAGAGTGTGGTCTCAGAGTGCATCCATTTAGCTAGAAATGGCTCAAGATTATCCTTTATGGCAGAGTAGTACTCCATTGTATAAAAAAACTCCACATCTTTATCCATTCATTGGTTGATGGGCATTTGGGCTGTTTCCAAGAACTGGCTATTACAACCTGCGCTGCTATAGACACGGGTGCGCATATATCACTCTGGTATGATGCTTTTATTTCTTTCAGGAAGAGACCAAGAACAGGAACACCTGAGTCAAATGGAAGCTCCAGTTTTAGTTTTCTGAGGAATCTCCGCAGTGATTTCCACAGTGGTTGCACCAGTCTGCACTTCCACCAGCAGTGAAGAAGGGTTCCTTTTCCCTCACAGCCTCTCCAACATTTGTTCTTGGTTGATTTCTTCATAATAGCCATTCTTTCTAGAGTGAGATGGAATCTCGGCGTTGTTTTAATTTGCATTTCTTGAACGGCCAGTGATGTTGAACACTTTCCCATACATTTATTTGCCATTTCTACTTCTTCATCTGAGAAGTGTGTATTTCTTGTGTGACAGTGAGAGGAAGACAGAGTGAAGGAGCCATGCTGAGTGGAGCAGTATGTGGCTGCCTATAATCCTAGCCCTCTGGGAAACTGAGGCAGGAGGGTGGCAAGTTTGGGCCTACTCTGGGTAGGCCAGTGTAGTGGATTGACAACTGGTGGTCACCTTATAACCTCCAAGTGAACTGAGTCAGCGTGGTGCTGGGTGTGGGAGGCCCACCTGGGGACTGTTGCCAGCAGCACAAGAGGCAGAACTGAAGGAGAAGGAGGCTGAGAGCTGAGAGAGGCTGTGGGGAGCTGGTAGAAGCTGTAAGGAGTTGTTGGTTCTGTTGCGGGAGCTCGTCATGCTGGCTTTCCTCATGAACTTGGCTGTTTTCATCCTGCAAGGAGCTCAGGGCCTTGTTGGCACTGAGAATGGCTTCGGTTCACTTTGGGGGAGCTCTGGTCCTCACTCTGAGCATCTCTTCCTGGCTCCGGAGGGGAAGAAGGTACACTGCCAGCCTCCTGAAGAATCTTGCTGCATGGGCTTCCCTGATGGGAACTCAGCTGTCTTCACCACGGGAGGAGCTCGGGACTGCACTGTTGCTGAGGATGGCTGTGGTACCTTCCAGGGGAGCTCTAGTTCTTACTTTCAGCATTGCTTCCTGGCTCCAGTGCAGATCCCTCAGCCTGCTAGCACAGATCCTTCATCCTGCTGGCACAGACTTCCTAGCTTCTACCACTGACCTTTGGGCCTTCGCAGTGCAGATCCGTGAAACAGGCCTGCATGAGATGTTGTCATGCGTTCTGGGCCTCCAGTTAGATCTGTGGGAGGCACTGTTATGAGCTCTAGTTCTTCAGCTGGACTCATGCAGGACATTGCTGTGGGATCCAGGCCCTCAGCTGGATTCTGTGGTCTTTAGTGTGTGGACAGATTTCCTGCAGTCTCTTTGGATATGACTCTTTGGGTGACTATTATAAATAATCTTATAAAATATGTGTCCTGTATTATATTGTTCCCTTGCAGTATCCCCCAAACCATAACAGACAGTGACTTACTAAGAGCTTGTCTCAGAATAAAATATGAAAAAATAAAATATGAAAAAAAGAAAACATGCAAAGGTCCTGGGTTCAATTCCTAGTATAAAAAATAAAAAATAAAAAAAATCAACGTGGTGTGATCCTGGACAAGTTTCTTTACTTCCCTGAATTTAAACGTAGCAACAAAGGTATTTTGTAAATCAGGTTCTTGAGGAAAAGTTCAGGAAAAATTATCAAAGCAAACAGAATACACATTTGTAACTGAAATGATTACATTTTTATTTTGCGTTTAGCTCAAGATTTGTTCCTCATGGTCAGTAGTTACTCAAATGAATATTTTCTTTTGGTAAGATCCTTTGCCTTGGAGCTGTCCATCTAGAAATATCACCATACATTACAAATGTTCACGTGGAACAATGTGCACTTATATTTTTCTTAAGGTTGTTCATCACGCGTAGCTTGGTCTAAATTACAGACACTGTAATCTCATAAAAGCTACGTGGAGCAAATCTGTAAAATTTATTCTGCAAATAAATAAGCTGTTAAAACCATCGCATCTCCCCAAAGATAGAATGAGTCGGGGGATCACGCATCACTCTCACGACTGGCTAACTGATTTATTAATCAGTGGTTCCTTCCTTAGATTCGATCCTGAGCTGTTGTGACGCTTCAGCGAGAATATGAAGTTCCTGGCGCCCAGGAGGCATCTAATAAAAGACAGCTGTTATTACCAAGTTGCTATCCTCAGAACAGACACACTGCCCGGCCCCCGGAGGACGGC